GCATCGAGAATCAAGACTGACCCGAAACTGTTGTATAGCCACATCAGGAGGAAGACAACAGTCAAAGACCAGGTGATCAGATTAAGGACAGAAGGTGGAGAACTCACAAGAAATGATCAGGAGGTATGTGAGGAGCTGAACAGGAGATTTAAGGAAGTTTTTACAGTAGAGACAGGAAGGGCTGTGGGAAGACAGCACAGAAGGGAACATCAAGAGGAAATATACCAACAAGTGTTGGATGACATACGAACAACTGAGGAGGAGGTGAAGAAGCTCTTAAGTGACCTTGACACCTCAAAGGCGATGGGACCGGACAACATCTCCCCATGGGTCCTTAGAGAAGGAGCAGAGATGCTGTGTGTGCCTCTAACCACAATCTTCAACACATCCCTTGAAACTGGGCAACTACCCGAGAAATGGAAGACAGCTAATGTAGTCCCCATATTTAAGAAAGGAAACAGAAACGAGGCACTAAACTACAGACCTGTGTCTCTGACATGTATTGTGTGCAAAGTCATGGAGAAGATTATCAGGAAGAGAGTGGTCGAACACCTGGAAAGGAACAAGATTATAAATGAAAACCAGCATGGGTTCATGGATGGCAAATCTTGTATCACAAACCTCCTGGAGTTTTATGACAAGGTAACAGAAGTAAGACATGAGAGAGAGGGGTGGGTAGATTGCGTTTTCCTAGACTGCAGGAAGGCCTTTGACACAGTTCCTCACAAGAGATTAGTGCAGAAGCTGGAGGATCAGGCGCACATAAAAGGGAGGGTACTGCAATGGATAAGGGAATACCTGACAGGGAGGCAGCAACGAGTCATGGTACTTGAAGAGGTATCACAGTGGGCGCCTGTTACGAGCGGGGTCCCACAGGGGTCAGTTCTAGGACCAGTGCTATTTTTGATATATGTGAACGACATGATGGAAGGAATAGACTCTGAAGTGTCCCTGTTCGCAGATGACGTGAAGTTGACGAGAAGAATTAAATCGAACGAGGATGAGGCAGGACTGCAAAGAGACCTGGAGAGGCTGGACATGTGGTCCAGTAACTGGCTTCTCGAATTCAATCCAGCCAAATGCAAAGTCATGAAGATTGGGGAGGGGCAAAGAAGACCGCAGACAGAGTATAGGCTAGGTGGACAAAGACAACAGACCTCACTCAGGGAGAAAGACCTTGGGGTGACCATAACACCGAGCACATCACCGGAGGCACACATCAACCAAATAACCGCTGCAGCATACCGGCGCCTGGCAAACCTGAGAATAGCGTTCCGATACCTTAAAAAGGAATCGTTCAAGACACTGTACACTGTGTATGTTAGGCCCATACTGGAGTATGCAGCACCAGTCTGGAACCCACACCTGGTCAAGCACGTCAAGAAGTTAGAGAAAGTACAAAGGTTTGCAACAAGGCTAGTCCCAGAGCTCAAGGGAATGTCGTACGAGGAAAGGTTAAGGGAAATCGGACTGACGACACTGGAGGACAGAGGGTCAGGGAGACATGATAACGACATACAAGATACTGCGGGGAATAGACAAGGTGGACAGAGATAGGATGTTCCAGAGAGGGGACACAGGGACAAGGGGTCACAACTGGAAGCTGAAGACTCAGACGAGTCACAGGGACGTTAGGAAGTATTTCTTCAGTCATAGAGTTGTCAGCAAGTGGAATAGCCTAGCAAGTGAAGTAGTGGAGGCAGGAACCATACATAGTTTTAAGAAGAGGTATGACAAAGCTCAGGAAGCAGAGAGAGAGAGGACCCAGTAGCGATCAGTGAAGAGGCGGGGCCAGGAGCTGAGTCTCGACCCCTGCAACCACAATTAGGTGAGTACAATTAGGTGAGAAACACACACACACACACACACACACACACACGCACACACACACACACACACACACACACACACACGCACACACACACACACACACACACACACACACACACACACACATACACACACACACACAAAACAGATCAAGTGTCTATCCACAAGTGCTTTTCACAACTAGTAACTACTACTACTACTACACACAAATAGATAGACAGGCTGGTATATATACACTGAGAGGTGTATATCTCAGTGTATATACACTGAGAGGTGTATATCTCAGTGTATATACACTGAGAGGTGTATATCTCAGTGTATATACACTGAGAGGTGTATATCTCAGTGTATATACACTGAGAGGTGAAATATCTCAGTGTATATACACTGAGAGGTGTATATCTCAGTGTATATACACTGGTAGTTTACATCAATCACTATTATAGTTATTAAACTAAATGTTATTTGCAGCCTTAATAACTACCTTAATAAGCTTTAAATCCAATAAACCAATCAGTAATAATAATAATAATAATAATAATTAATAATAATAATAATAATAATAATAATAATAATAATAATAAATAATAATAATAATAATAATAATTATCACCAGTTTCCTTGTCATTATGTCTTAATTCTAATTTGTGATTATAATCTAACAACGCACATTGAGACAGCAACACAAGGCTGATTGATCTGTATATTTTGACGTCTTTCTGGGACGCTCTTCAGCAGAAGAGGGTCTCGGAAGGGGGTCGAAATATGGAGCTAAAAGGCAACGCTCTCGCTTCACACGCTGAGTGTCCGGGTTCGATTCCCGTTAAGGGTGAAAACATTGGACGTGTTTAGTTACACCTGTTGTCCTGTTCACCTAGCAAGTAGGTACCTGGGTGTTAGCCGACTGGTGTGGGTAGCATCCTGGGGGACAATGGAAATAAGTTAGACAGTCCTCGATGACGCACTGACTTTCTTGGGTTATCATGGGTGGCTAACCCTCCAGAGTTAAAAATCCAAGCAATATCTTATCTCACTCGCCCGTCCCGGGCATGTCGATCTTAAATACAACCTACCCAAGACTCTCCACACTATACATACTCCTATATACACTGTATATAGGAGTATATGTATACACTATATATAGGAGTATATATGTATACACTATATACACCCGTGTACTCTTTACCCAGAGGTAGATCTAGTTAGTTAAATACCTTGATTATACACCTCATACCCATCCTGTAGGTGGTAGTCACCCCATACCCATCCTGTAGGTGGTAGTCACCCCATACCCATCCTGTAGGTGGTAGTCACCCCATACCCATCCTGTGGGTGGTAGTCACCACTTACCCATCCTGTGGGTGGTAGTCACCCCATACCCATCCTGTGGGTGGTAGTCACCACTTACCCATCCTGTGGGTGGTAGTCACCCCATACCCATCCTGTAGGTGGTAGTCACCCCATACCCATCCTGTAGGTGGTAGTCACCCCATACCCATCCTGTAGGTGGTAGTCACCCCATACCCATCCTGTGGGTGGTAGTCACCCCATACCCATCCTGTGGGTGGTAGTCACCCCATACCCATCCTGTGGGTGGTAGTCACCCCATACCCATCATGTGAGTGGTAGTCACCCTATACCCATCCTGTGGGTGGTAGTCATCCCATACCCATCCTGTGAGTGGTAGTCACCCCATACCCATCCTGTGGGTGGTAGTCACCCCATACCCATCCTGTGGGTGGTAGTCACCCCATACCCATCCTGTGGGTGGTAGTCACCCCATACCCATCCTGTGAGTGGTAGTCATCCCATACCCATCCTATGAGTGGTAGTCACCTGATACCCATCCTGTGAGTGGTAGTCACCTCATACCCATCCTGTGAGTGGTAGTCACCTCATACCCATCCTGTGGGTGGTAGTCACCTCATACCCATCCTGTGAGTGGTAGTCATCCCATACCCATCCTGTGGGTGGTAGTTACCATATACCCATCCTGTGGGTGGTAGTCACCATATACCCATCCTGTGAGTGGTAGTCACCATATACCCATCCTGTGGGTGGTAGTCACCATATACCCACCTGTGAGTGGTAGTCACCATATACCCATCCTGTGGGTGTAGTCACCATATACCCATCCTGTGAGTGGTAGTCACCATATACCCATCCTGTGGGTGGTATGTCACCATATACCCATCCTGTGAGTGGTAGTCACCATATACCCATCCTGTGGGTGGTAGTCACCATATACCCATCCTGTGAGTGGTAGTCACCATATACCCATCCTGTGGGTGGTAGTCACCATATACCCATCCTGTGAGTGGTAGTCACCATATACCCATCCTGTGGGTGGTAGTCACCATATACCCATCCTGTGGGTGGTAGTCACCATATACCCATCCTGTGGGTGGTAGTCACCATATACCCATCCTGTGAGTGGTAGTCACCATATACCCATCCTGTGGGTGGTAGTCACCATATACCCATCCTGTGGGTGGTAGTCACCCCATACCCATCCTGTGGGTGGTAGTCACCCCATACCCATCCTGTGGGTGGTAGTCACCATATACCCATCCTGTGGGTGGTAGTCACCATATACCCATTCCTGTGGTGGTAGTCACCCATACCCATCCTGTGGGTGGTAGTCACCATATACCCATCCTGTGGGTGGTAGTCACCATATACCCATCCTGTGAGTGGTAGTCACCATATACCCATCCTGTGGGTGGTAGTCACCCCATACCCATCCTGTGGGTGGTAGTCACCATATACCCATCCTGTGGGTGGTAGTCACCATATACCCATCCTGTGGGCGGTAGTCAAAAGATTACAAAGGTACATAATGGGTCCAGGGACTGGGCCCCAAAGTTATGATAGCTGAACTAGTTACAAAGGTAATGAACTCCAGGTAGATCTGGTCACAGTCATGACTAGTTACAAAGGTAATGATCCATCTACACTCCTATAACGATAGATCTGTTTGTGAATTGATAAATCTCACTGTATGGGCGAAACGTAGTCAGTATATAATCACATTAAACATCATTTGCGTCTATCTCACCATGGGGTCGAAATACGCAGATTAATCTCTATTTCCAGGTGGCTTATTACTAAGCATAAACTGATGTATTAACCCCATGTATATAGATCAATAATATCTCTGGTTTCAACAGATATATTACTCAACTTCCGAACGACGTTTGTCAATAAAAAGGGAGAAGTTGTATTGAGTCCTGTTAGAATAGCCACCCATTACGTCAAGGGTTGGTTCGTTCTTGACCTCGTAGCTGCTATGCCCTTTGACCTCCTCCTGGCTGCTGACGTCTACAGTTCGGTCAGTACCTTTAAGCTTTATAAATTACGTATACCATCCACTGTTTGGGCTACACATAAAGCTTTCTCAGAAAGCTTTAGTAACAGTATTTTCGTGCTTTATAAATCCCATTTACAGGAAAGGTCGCTTAGAGGAGCTATATAAGAGGGGTGTAATATACAGTAACCCCTCTTACAGCTATTATTTGTAAGGTATTTTATTGCAAATGTAATAGGATAAGTATAACCAAAATTATATTTACACTGAGGTCTGTATCAGGGTATATACACTAAGTGTTGTGTGTCAGTGTTTGTACACAGAGACACACATACAGTGTATATACACTGAGAGTCTACATCTCTTTACGTATGTACACTGAGAGGTGTATATCTCAGTGTATATACACTGAGAGGTGTATATCTCAGTGTATATACACTGGTAGTTTACATTAATCAGTATTTTAGGTATTAAAGTATTCTTGACTGGTGTTACAGATGACCTGCAGCCTAATGGACCCTCGTGTAGTAAGATAGACTTTAAACCCCATTAACCACCAAGCCTTATGACCTCGTGTATGTAGATAGACTTTAAACCCCATTAACCAACTAACCTTAATGACCCTCGTGTAGTAGATAGACTTTAAACCCCATTAACCAACCAACCTTAATGACCCTCGTGTAGCAGATAGACATAAACCCCATTAACCAAAGAACCTTAATGACCATCTTCCCCAACACAAGTATCACCCTGTAACTTCCCCAACAGACGTTCCAAGCCACCAACATCCACCTACTGAAACTGACGAGACTGCTGCGTCTGGCGCGCCTCCTGCAGAAGATGGACAGGTACTACCAGTACTCAGCACTCATCCTGACCCTGTTGATGCTATCTTTCTCCCTGGTTGCTCACTGGCTGGCCTGTGTCTGGTACGCTATAGCTGAGGACGAGATGCAGAGACCTCAGGCTGAGATAGGTCAGTATATAGCTTTACCAACCCTGTTTACAAGCTGAGACATCAGGCTGAGATAGGTCAGTATATAGCTTTACCAACCCTGTTTACAAGCTGAGACATCAGGCTGAGATTGGTGAGTATATAGCTTTATCAACCCTGCTTACAAGCTGAGACATCAGGCTGAGATAGGTGATTATATAGCTTTATCAACCCTGCTTACAAGCTGAGACATCAGGCTGAGATAGGTCAGTATATAGCTTTACCAACCCTGTTTACAAGCTGAGACATCAGGCTGAGATAGGTGAGTATATAGCTTTATCAACCCTGCTTACAAGCTGAGACATCAGGCTGAGATAGGTCAGTATATAGCTTTACCAACCCTGCTTACAAGCTGAGACATCAGGCTGAGATAGGTGAGTATATAGCTTTATCAATCCTGCTTACAAGCTGAGACAACAGGCTGAGATGGGTCAGTGTATAGCTTTACCAACCCTGCTTACAAGCTGAGACATCAGGCTGAGATAAGTAAGTATATAGCTTTATCAACCCTGCTTACAAGCTGAGACATCAGGCTGAGATAGTTGAGTATATAGCTTTATCAACCCTGCTTACAAGCTGAGACATCAGGTTGAGATAGGTCAGTATATAGCTTTACCAACCCTGCTTACAAGCTGAGACATCAGGCTGAGATAGGTCAGTATATAGCTTTACCAACCCTGCTTACAAGCTGAGACATCAGGCTGAGATAGGTCAGTATATAGCTTTGCCAACCCTGCTTACAAGCTGAGACATCAGGCTGAGATAGGTCAGTATATAGCTTTATCAACCCTGCTTACAAGCTGAGACATCAGGCTGAGATAGGTCAGTATATAGCTTTATCAACCCTGCTTACAAGCTGAGACATCAGGCTGAGATAGGTCAGTATATAGCTTTACCAACCCTGCTTACAAGCTGAGACATCAGGCTGAGATAGGTCAGTATATAGCTTTGCCAACCCTGCTTACAAGCTGAGACATCAGGCTGAGATAGGTCAGTATATAGCTTTATCAACCCTGCTTACAAGCTGAGACATCAGGCTGAGATAGGTTAGTATATAGCTTTACCAACCCTGCTTACAAGCTGAGACATCAGACTGAGATAGGTGAGTATATAGCTTTATCAATCCTGCTTACAAGCTGAGACATCAGGCTGAGATAGGTCAGTATATAGCTTTACCAACCCTGCTTACAAGCTGAGACATCAGGCTGAGATAGGTCAGTATATAGCTTTATCAACTCTGTTTACCAGCTAAGTGCTGTTATCTGACCCCAGTGTTTTACAGTGATTTACATCAGGCTGGATACAGTATATGCATAGCCTGCTCATGAGATCAGTAATGTTTAAGCAATAATTTACAGTTATTACACATGATATACAGAATTTACAATGATTTACAGTATTTATCAGAAATTTACAATTTACAGTATTTACAATAATTTACAATATATTACAACTACAAGTAACAGATGATTTACAGAATTTACAATATTTACAAGTATTTACATATAATTCAGTAATAGCTTTATAATTTACAATGAGCATAGTAATTCTACATAATTTACAAGTGATTTACAGTATTTACACGAATTTACATATTATACATTATTTACAGAATTTAGCAATTACATTACAGTATTTACATAATTTACATGTTACAAAATTTACAATGAGAGTCATAGTAATTTACCACTAATTTACCGCGTGATTTTACAGTATTTACAGGTAATTTACACTGACTCATAGTATTTACATATAATTTTACAGTATGATTTACAGTATTTAGTGATTTACAATGTATATACAGTCAATTTACAGATGTTAAGAATTTCTTCGTATCGCATAATTCAGTTACATACCATGACTTACTCATCAGCCATTCATCTACCTACTCATCCATGCTACTCATCCAGCCTACTCTTCCACCATATCAGCTACTCATCCAGCCTACATCATCCAGCTACTACCCAGCCTACTAATCCATCCTACTCCTCCTCCTACATCATCAGCCTACATATCCAGCCATACTCACCAGCCTACCATCCATCCTACTCCTCCAGCCTACTCATCCAACCTACTCTCATCTCTACTCATCCAGCCTATCATTACAGCCTATTCACCCAGCCTATCATCCATTTCCTACTCCTCCGCCTACTCAATCAGCCAACTCACCCAGCCTACTCATCCATCCTACTCCTCCTGCCTACTCATCCAGCCTACTAACCCAGCCTACTCATCCATCCTACTCCTCCTGCCTACTCATCCAGCCGACTCATCCAGCCTACTCATCCAGCCAACTCACCCACCCTACTCATCCAGCCTACTCCTCCTGCCTACTCATCCAGCCTACTCATCCAGCCTACTCACTCAGCCTACTCATCCTGCCTACTCATCCAGCCTACTCATCCTGCCTACTCATCCTGCCTACTCACCCAGCCTACTCATCCAGCCTACTCACCCAGCCTACTCATCCAGCCTACTCACCCAGCCTACTCATCCAGCCTACTCATCCAGCCTACTCATCCAGCCTACTTCTCCTGCCTACTCACCCAGCCTACTCCTCCTGCCTACTCACCCAGCCTACTCATCCAGCCTACTCATCCAGCCTACTCCTGCCTACTCATCCAGCCTACTCACCCAGTCTTCTCATCCAGCCTACTCCTCTTGCCTACTCATCCAGCCTACTCATCCAGCCTATCTCACCCAGCCTACTCATCCAGCCTACTCACCCAACCTATTCATCCGGCCTACTCACCCAGCCTACTTATCCAGCCTACTCATCCAGCCTTCTCTTCCAGCCTACTCCTCTCCTGCCTACTCACCCAGCCTACTTATCCAGCCTACTCATCCAGCCTACTCACCCAACCTATTCATCCGGCCTACTCACCCAGCCTACCACCTCACTCACCCAGCCTACTCACCCAGCCTACTCACCCAACCTACTCATCCAGAAAACTCACCCAGCCTACTCATCCAGGCTACTCTTCCTGCCTACTCACCCAGCCTACTCATCCAGCCTACTCTCCTGCCTACTCTATCCATGCCTACTCATCCAGCCTACTCACCCAGCCTACTCACCAGCCTACTCATCCAGCCTACTCATCCAGCCTGCTCCTCCTGCCTACTCACCCAGCCTACTCATCCAGCTTACTCACCAGCCTACTCATCCAGCCTACTCATCCAACCTACTCCTCCTGCCTACTAACCCAGCCTACTCATCCAGCCTACTCATCCAGCCTACTCACCAACCTACTCATCCAGCCTATTCACCCAGCCTACTCATCCAGCCTACTCACCCAACCTACTCATCCAGCCTACTCATCCAGCCTACTCCTCCTGCCTACTCACTCAGCCTACTCATCCAGCCTACTCACACCAGCCTACTCATCCAGCCTACTCCTGCCTACTCATCCAGCCTACTCACCCAGCCTTCTCATCCAGCCTACTCCTCCTGCCTACTCACCCAACCTACTTACCCATCCTCCTCATCCAGCCTCCTCATCCAGCCTACTCAACCGGCCTACTCATCCAGCCTACTCACCCAGCCTACTCATCCAGCCTACTCATCAATCCTACTCACCCACCACCACCCAACCTACTCACCCAGCCTATCCACCCAGCTTACTCATCCAGCCTACTCACCCAGCCTACTCACCCAGCTTACTCACCCAGCCTACTCACCCAACCTACTCACCCAGCTTACTCACCCACTTACTCACCCAGCCTACTCATCCAGCCTACTCACCCAGCCTACTCACCCAGCTTACTCACCCAGCCTACTCATCCAACCTACTCACCCAGCCTACTCACCCAGCTTACTCACCCAGCCTACTTCTCCTGCAGGCTGGATCTACGACCTGGCTGAACGTCTCGCCCGTGACGTCAGAAACGTCACGATATCGGAGAAGTACGTTACGGCGCTCTACTTCACCTGTTCCTCCCTCACTTCCGTTGGCTTCGGTAACGTCTCCGCCAACACCAACAGAGAGAAGATCTTCAGCATAGTTACTATGCTTATTGGAGGTGAGTTACTGTTGTTCTTCCTGTTGGAGGTGGGTTACTGTTGTTCTTCCTGTTGGAGGTGGGTTACTGTTGTTCTTCCTGTTGGAGGTGATGTACTGTTGTTCTTCCTGTTGGAGGTGAGTTACTGTTGTTCTTCCTGTTGGAGGTGATGTACTGTTGTTCTTCCTGTTGGAGGTGATTACTGTTGTTCTTCCTGTTGGAGGTGGGTTACTGTTGTTCTTCCTGTTGGAGGTGATTACTGTTGTTCTTCCTGTTGGAGGTGATGTACTGTTGTTCTTCCTGTTGGAGGTGGTTACTGTTGTTTTCCTGTTGGAGGTGGAGTACTGTTGTTCTTCCTGTTGGAGGTGATGTACTGTTGTTCTTCCTGTTGGAGGTGAGTTACTGTTGTTCTTCCTGTTGGAGGTGATGTACTGTTGTTCTTCCTGTTGGAGGTGAGTTACTGTTGTTCTTCCTGTTGGAGGTGGGTTACTGTTGTTCTTCATCTGTTGGAGGTGAGGTACTGTTGTTCTTCCTGTTGGAGGTGAGTTACTGTTGTTCTTCCTGTTGGAGGTGAGTTACTGTTGTTCTTCCTGTTGGAGGTGACTTACTGTTGTTCTTCCTGTTGGAGGTGGTTACTGTTGTTCTTCCTGTTGGAGGTGAGTTACTGTTGTTCTTCCTGTTGGAGGTGACGTTACTGTTGTTCTTCCTGTTGGAGGTGAGTTACTGTTGTTCTTCCTGTTGGAGGTGGGTTACTGTTGTTCTTCCTGTTGGAGGTGAGTTACTGTTGTTCTTCCTGTTGGAGGTGAGTTACTGTTGTTCTTCCTGTTGGAGGTGGAGTTACTGTTGTTCTTCCGTGGAGGTGAGTTACTGTTGTTCTTCCGTTTGGAGGTGGGTTACTGTTGTTCTTCCTGTTGGAGGTGGTTACTGTTGTTCTTCCTGGGAGGTGATGTACTGTTGTCTTCCTGTTGGAGGTGGTTCCTGTTGTTCTTTCCTGTTTAGGTGGGTTACTGTTGTTCTTCCTGTTGGAGGTGGTTCATGTTTGTTTTCTTATTTATCGGTGCTCCTGTTTCCTTTTACTGTTTTAGTGTTCCTGTTGCTCTTCCTGTTTTTTCTTGTTACTGCTTTATGTTTCATGTATTTTCTTATTTATCTGTATATTCTGTTATTCCCTAGTTTACTTCTACTATTTCCTGTTTACTCTGTTATTTCTTGTTTACCTCTGTTATTTCATGTTTACTTCTGTTATTTCCTGTTTACCTCTGTTATTTCCTGTTTAACTTCTGTTATTTCCTGTTTACTTCTGTTATTTCCTGTCTATTTCTGTTATTTCATGTTTACTTCTGTTATTTCCTGTTTACCTCTGTTATTTCCTGTCTACCTCTGTTATTTCCTGTTCACCTTCTGTTATTTCCTGTTTACCTCTGTATTTCCTGTTTACTTCTGTTATTTCCTGGTTACTCTGTTATTTTCTGTCTACCTCTGTTATTTCCTGTTTACTTCTGTTATTTCCTGTTTACCTCTGTTATTTCCTGTTTACTTCTGTTATTTCCTGGTTACCTTCTGTTATTTCCTGTTCTGTCATTTCCTGTTTACTTCTGTTATTTCCAGTTTATTTTGTTATTTCATTTACACCTTGTTATTTGCTTGTTTACATTCTGTAATCTTCTTTACCTCTGTTATTTTCCTGTTTACTTCTGTTATTTCCTGTTTACTTCTGATATAATTCCTTTACTTCTTGTTGATTCCTGTTATACCTCTGTTATTTCCCAGGTTTACTCCTGTTATTTCCTGTTTACCTCTGTTATTTCCTGTTTACCTCTGTTATTTCCTGTTTCTTATGTTATTTCTCGTTCAGTTTCCACTTATAAATTGGTATAGATCATTTAGCACAACGGTGGAGTTGGAAACAATATGGTTTGATCCAAGGGACGGGAATCAAGAGTCCTTGAGCTTTATCAAGGCTCCTCAGACTTGTTTCGTACGGGTTTTAGCGCTTATGAATGGTATTAGAAGATGCAGGGCTTTTGATTCTAGGAAATGGAGGTATAATTCCTTATACTCTCATTGAGTGGAGTTATACTGCCTTATACTCCCAGGGAGGGAGTAAAGGTATACTCCCTTATACTGTCAGGGAGCAAGTAGAGGTATACTCCCTTATCCTCCCAGGGGGAGAGAGTGGAGTATACTCCCATTGAGTGGAAGTATGCTCCCTCATACTCCCAAGGAGGGACTTGAGGTATTCTCTCAGGGAGGGAGTGGAGGTATACTCCAAGGGAATGGATGTATTCTCCCTCATCCTCCCAGGGAGTGGATGTATTCTCCCTCATCCTCCCAGAGAGTGGATGTATTCTCCCTCATCCTCCCAGGGAGTGGATGTATTCTCCCTCATCCTCCCAGGGAGTGGATGTATTCTCCCTCATCCTCCCAGAGAGTGGATGTATTCTCCCTCATCCTCCCAGGGAGTGGATGTATTCTCCCTCATCCTCCCAGGGAGTGGATGTATTCTCCCTCATCCTCCCAGAGAGTGGATGTATTCTCCCTCATCCTCCCAGGGAGTGGATGTATTCTCCCTCATCCTCCAGGGAGTGGATGTATTCTCCCTCATCCTCCCGAGAGTGGATGTATTCTCCCTCATCCTCCCAGGGAGTGGATGTATTCTCCCTCATCCTCCCAGGGAGTGGATGTATTCTCCCTCATCCTCCCAGGGAGTGGATGTATTCTCCCTCATCCTCCCAGAGAGTGGATGTATTCTCCCTCATCCTACCAGAGAGTGGATGTATTCTCCCTCATCCTCCCAGGGAGTGGATGTATTCTCCCTCATCCTCCCAGGGAGTGGATGTATTCTCCCTCATCCTCCCAGAGAGTGGATGTATTCTCCCTCATCCTCCCAGGGAGTGGATGTATTTCTCCCTCATCCTCCCAGGGAGTGGATGTATTCTCCCTCATCCTCCCAGAGAGTGGATGTATTCTCCCTCATCCTCCCAGGGAGTGGATGTATTCTCCCTCATCCTCCCAGGGAGTGGATGTATTCTCCCTCATCCTCCCAGAGAGTGGATGTATTCTCCCTCATCCTCCAGGGAGTGGATGTATTCTCCCTCATCCTCCCAGGGAGTGGATGTATTCTCCCTCATCCTCCCAGGGAGTGGATGTATTCTCCCTCATCCTCCCAGAGAGTGGATGTATTCTCCCTCATCCTACCAGAGAGTGGATGTATTTCTCCCTCATCCTCCCAGGGAGTGGATGTATTCTCCCTCATCCTCCCAGGGAGTGGATGTATTCTCCCTCATCCTCCCAGAGAGTGGATGTATTCTCCCTCATCCTCCCAGGGAGTGGATGTATTCTCCCTCATCCTCCCAGGGAGTGGATGTATTCTCCCTCATCCTCCCAGGGAGTGGATGTATTCTCCCTCATCCTCCCAGAGAGTGGATATATTCTCCCTCATCCTCCCAGGGAGTGGATGTATTCTCCCTCATTCCTCCCAGGGAGTGGATGTATTCTCCCTCATCCTCCCAGAGAGTGGATGTATTCTCCCTCATCCTCCCAGGGAGTGGATGTATTCTCCCTCATCCTCCCAGAGAGTGGATGTATTCTCCCTCATCCTCCCAGAGAGTGGATGTATTCTCCCTCATCCTCCCGGGAGTGGATGTATTCTCCCTCATCTCCCAGGGAGTGGATGTATTCTCCCTCATCCTCCCAGAGAGTGGATGTATTCTCCCTCATCCTCCAGAGATGGATGTATTCTCCCTCATCCTCCCAGGGAGTGGATGTATTCTCCCTCATCCTCCCAGGGAGTGGATGTATTCTCCCTCATCCTCCCAGAGAGTGGATGTATTCTCCCTCATCCTCCCAGGGAGTGGATGTATTCTCCCTCATCCTCCCAGGGAGTGGATGTATTCTCCCTCATCCTCCCAGGGAGTGGATGTATTCTCCCTCATCCTCCCAGAGAGTGGATGTATTCTCCCTCATCCTCCCAGGGAGTGGATGTATTCTCCCTCATCCTCCCAGGGAGTGGATGTATTCTCCCTCATCCTCCCAGGGAGTGGATGTATTCTCCCTCATCCTCCAGAGAGTGGATGTATTCTCCCTCATCCTCCCAGAGGTGGATGTAATTCTCCTCATCCTCCAGGGAGTGGATGTATTCTCCCTCATCCTCCCAGGGAGTGGATGTATTCTCCCTCATCCTCCCAGAGAGTGGATGTATTCTCCCTCATCCTCCCAGGGAGTGGATGTATTCTCCCTCATCTCCCAGGGAGTGGATGTATTCTCCCTCATCCTCCCAGGGAGTGGATGTATTTCTCCCTCATCCTCCCAATGAGGGTATGTATTCTCCTCATCCTCCCAGGAGTGGATGTATTCTCCCTCATCCCACCGGGAGTGGATGTTTCTCCCTCTATCCTCCCAGGAGTGATGCATTCTCCCTATCCTCCAGGGAGTGGATGTATTCTCCCTCATCCTCACCAGAGAGTGGATGAGTATTCTCCCTCATCCTCCCAGGGAGTGATGTATTCTCCCTCATCCTCCCAGGGAGTGGATGTATTCTCCCTCATCCTCCCAGAGAGTGGATGTATTCTCCCTCATCCTCCCAGAGAGTGGATGTATTCTCCCTCATCCTCCAAGGGAGTGGATGTATTCTCCCTCATCCTCCCAGAGAGTGGATGTATTCTCCCTCATCCTCCCAGAGAGTGGAGGTAAACACCCATTTTTTTTATGACATTATGGGGGTAAGAGTCCCCATGAATGTGACATTATGGGGGTAAGAGTCCCCATGAATGTGACATTATGGGGGTAAGAGTCCCCATGAATGTGACATTATGGGGGTCGAGTCCCCTGAATGTGACCATTATGGGGGTAAGAGTCCCCATGAATGTGACATTATGGGGGTAAGAGTCCCCATGAATGTGACATTATGGGGGTAAGAGTCCCCATGAATGTGACATTATGGGGGTAAGAGTCCCCATGAATGTGACATTATGGGGGTAAGAGTCCCCATGAATGTGACATTATGGGGGTAAGAGTCCCCATGAATGTGACATTATGGGGGTAAGAGTCCCCGTGAATGTGACATTATGGGGGAAGAGTCCCCATGAATGTGACATTATGGGGGTAAGATCCCCGTGAATGTGACATTATGGGGGTAAGAGTCCCCATGAATGTGACATTATGGGGGTAAGAGTCCCCATGAATGTGACATTTGGGGGTAAGAGTCCCCATGAATGTGACATTATGGGGGTAAGAGTCCCCATGAATGTGACATTATGGGGTAAGAGTCCCCATGAATGTGACATTATGGGGGTAAGAGTCCCCATGAATGTGACATTATGGGGGTAAGAGTCCCCATGAATGTGACATTATGGGGGTAAGAGTCCCCATGAATGTGACATTATTGGGGGTAAGAGTCCCCATGAATGTGACATTTGGGTAAGAGTCCCCATGAATGTGACATTATGGGGGTAAGAGTCCCCATGAATGTGACATTATGGGGTAAGATACCCCATGAATGTGACATTATGGGGGTAAGAGTCCCCATGAATGTGACATTATGGGGGTAAGAGTCCCCATGAATGTGACATTATGGGGGTAAGAGTCCCCATGATGTGACATTATGGGGTAAGAGTCCCCATGAATGTGACATTATGGGGGTAAGAGTCCCCATGAATGTGACATTATGGGGGTAAGAGTCCCCATGAATGTGACATTATGGGGGTAAAGTCCCCATGAATGTGACATTATGGGGGTAAGAGTCCCCATGAATGTGACATTATGGGGGTAGAGTCCCCATGAATGTGACATTATGGGGGTAAGAGTCCCCATGAATGTGACATTATGGGGGGTAAGAGTCCCCATGAATGTGACATTATGGGGGTAAGAGTCCCCATGAATGTGACATTATGGGGGTAAGAGTCCCCATGAATGTGACATTATGGGGGTAAGAGTCCCCATGAATGTGACATTATGGGGGTAAGAGTCCCCATGAATGTGACATTATGGGGTAAGAGTCCCCATGAATGTGACATTATGGGGGTAAGAGTCCCCATGAAAAGTGACATTATGGGGTAAGAGTCCCCATGAATGTGACATTATGGGGGTAAGAGTCCCCATGAATGTGACATTATGGGGGTAAGAGTCCCCATGAATGTGACATTATGGGGGTAAGAGTCCCCATGAATGTGACATTATGGGGGTAAGAGTCCCCATGAATGTGACATTATGGGGTAAGAGTCCCCATGAATGTGACATTATGGGGGTAAGAGTCCCCATGAATGTGACAATTATGGGGGTAAGAGTCCCATGAATGTGACATTATGGGGGTAAGAGTCCCCATGAATGTGACATTATGGGGGTAAGAGTCCCCATGAATGTGACATTATGGGGGTAAGAGTCCCCATGAATGTGACATTTATGGGGGTAAGAGTCCCCATGAATGTGACATTATGGGGGTAAGAGTCCCCATGAATGTGACATTATGGGGGTAAGAGTCCCCATGAATGTGACATTGGGGATCTTCATTGTTAAAATGTTTCGGGGCTACACGGTAGTCTCGTCAGTCAAAATTACAGAGGCGCGTGTGGTAGTGAATGTGAATGATGTAATCAGTCCCTCATACTGGGGAATTAGTGTTTGGGGAACAGTCCCTCAGTCTGGAGAATCAATGTCTGAGATGATCAGTCCCTCAGTTTGGCCTGGAACAGTCCTTCATCCTGGCCTGGAACCATATTGTTCCAGACTATGGAACTGAACTCTTCTCCAGACTGAGGGACTGACCACCTCAAACACTAATTCTCCAGGTTGAGGGACTGATTACATCATCATCATTCCACTACCACACTGCTGCCTCTGTATTTGACTGACGAAGTCTCCCGTGTAGACCGAACATTTTAACAACTATCGTACACGTGTCTTAGTCATCAACTTCTCAGTATTTATACTATTTTCAACATTAGTGCGATATTGATGCATTGATGTCACCATCAGCATTGATGCACGCAACGGTGTTCGGCAACGTGACATCAATCATCCAGAGGATGTACTTGAGACGTTCACTCTACCAGACCAAGTGGAGGGATCTGAAGGACTTCCTGTCACTCAACCAGATCCCCAAGGAACTCCGCCAGAGGATGCAGGACTACTTCCAGACTATGTGGAGCCTTAACCAGGGCATTGATATTCACGAGGTTAGTACAAAGAGCCATAACCAGGGTGTTGATGATCGTATGGTTAGTATCGCACTTGGAGGAGCTATAGCCAGAGTATTAATAATCCTGAAGTTAGCCTCTGGAGGTGGGAAGTACAGTACCTGTACTCTGAAGGATGAGTGAGGATGTTACAGTCCTGCAGGTGGGAAGTACAGTACCTGTACTCTGAAGGATGAGTGAGGATGTTACAGTCCTGGAGGTGGGAAGTACAGTACCTGTACTCTGAAGGATGAGTGAGGATGTTACAGTCCTGGAGGTGGGAAGTACAGTACCTGTACTCTGAAGGATGAGTGAGGATGTTCGTCCTGGAGGTGGGGGAAATACATACCTGTACTCTGAAGGATGAGTGAGGATGTTTTAGTCCTGGAGGGGGAAATACAGTACCGCACTCTGAAGGTGGTGAGGATTTCAGTCCTGGGGGGTGGGAAGTACGACCCCGACTTGAAGGATGGTGGGATGTTCATCCGGAGGTGGGAAGACAGTACCGACTTGAAGGATGAGTGAGGAATTTCAGCCTGGGGGTGGGAAGTACAGTACCCGTATCTGAAAGGGTGATAGGATTTTACGTCCTGGAGGTGGGAAAATACAGTACCTTCCTGAAGGATGATGAGGATGTTACAGTCCTGGAGGTGGGAATACATACCTGTACTTGAAGGAGAGTGAGGTGTTACAGTCCTGGGGGTGGGGAAATACAGTACCTGTACCTGAAGGTGAGGAGGATGTTTCATCCTGGAGGGGACAATACAGTACCTTCTCGAAGGATGATGAGGAGTTACAGTCCTGGAGGTGGGGAAATACATACCTTACCTTTAAATAGTGAGGATGTTACAGCCCGGGGTGGGAAGTAATGCCTGACTCTGAAGGATGAGTGAGGGGATGTTACAGTCCTGGAGGTGGGAAGTACAGTGCCTGAAATCTGAAGGATAGTGAGGTGTTACAGTCCGGAGGGGGGAATACTACCTGTACCTGAAGGATGAGTGAGGATGTTTCATTTGGAGGTGGAAACGTACCTTACTTAAGGGATGAGATGTTACAGTCCTGGGGGTGGGAAGTACAGTACCCGACTCGAAGGATGAGTGAGGATGTTTCAGCCCGGAGGGGGAAGAAGGCCTGTACTTGGAAGGAGAGTGAGGATGTTACAGTCCTGGAGGTAGGGAAAGGGCAGTGCCTTACTCTGAAGGATGAGTGAGGATGTTACAGTCCTGGAGGTGGGGAATACAGTGCCTGTCTCTAAGGATGAGTGAGGATATTACAGCCCTGGAGGTGGGAAGTACAGCCTGACCCTTTAAAGGGCAGTGAGGATGTTACAATTTTGGGGGGAAGTACAATGTCTGTATTGAAGAGAGTGAGGTGTTCAGTCCTGGGGGGGGAAGTAAAAGTACCTGTACTCTGAAGGATAGTGAGGGAATGTTTTAAATTGTGGAAAGGGGGGAAGTGCAGTGCCTTACCTGAAGGATGAGTGAGGATGTTTAAAAAGTCCTGGGGGTGGGGGTCATACCTTACTCTAAGGATGAGTGAGGATGTTACAATCCAGGGGGTGGGGAAATACAGCACCTTACTCTGAAGGGTGAGTGAGGATGTTACAGTCCCGGAGGTGGGGAAATAATACCTTCCTGAAGGATGGGAGGATTTACAGGTTTTGTGGAGGTTGGGGAAATGCAGTGCCTGTAACCCAAGGGAGAGTGAGGGTGTTCACCGGAGGTGGGGAAGACAGTACCTGTACTCTGAAGGTGAGTGAGGAAGTTACAATCCAGGGGGGGGGTAACAAACCTTTTTTTGAAGGTGGTGAGGATGTTACGTCCCCCATGGGAATACATACCCCGTACTTGAAGGATGAGTGAGGATGTTCAGCCTGGAGGTGGGAATACAGTACCCTTTCTCTGAAGGATGAGTGAGGATGTTACTCCTGGAGGTGGGAAATACAGTGCCTGTACCTGAAAGGGTGAGAGGGTTACAGTCCCGGGGGTGGGGAAATAAGTACCTGTACTCTGAAGGATATTTTAAATGTTACAGTCCTGGAGGTGGGAAGTACAGTACCTGTACTCGAAGGATGAGTGAGGAGTTACAGTCCTGGGGGGGGAAGTCATGCCTTACTCTGAAGGTGAGTAGGATGTTTCAGCCCGGAATGGGAAATACAGTCCCCACCTAAGGAGAGTGAGGATTTTACAGTCCTGGAGGTGGGAAACTTTCCGTCTTGAAGGGATTTGGGATATTACAGCCCAGGGGGAAGTCATCCTGTATCTGAAAGGGGGTATTTCAGCCCTGGGGTGGGAATACAGTGCCGTATCTGAAGGATGAGTGAGGTGTTACAGTTTTTGGGTGTGGGGGTACAATGCTTGTACTCTGAAGGGTGGTGAGGTGTTTCAGTGCTGAGGTGGGAAGTACAGTACCCTTTCTTGAAATGAGTGAGGATGTTAAGTCCGAGGGGGAAGTACAGTGCCTGTTTCTAAGGTAGTGAGGATGTTCAGTCCTGGAGGGGGGAATACAGTAAACCCGTACTCTGAAGGATGATGAGGATGTTTCAGTCCCCGGGGGTTGGGGGGTCAGTACCGTACTCTGAAGGATGAGTGAGAAGTTACAGTCCTGGATGGGAAATACGTGCCTGTACTCTAAGGATGAGGAGGTGTTACAGTCCTGGAGGGGGGAAGTACATTTCCTGTACTCTGAAGGATGAGTGAGGATGTTTCCCGTCCTGGGGGTGGGAAATCGTACCTGTACTCTGAAGGGGATTAGGTGTTAAAGTCCTAGGTGGGGAAATACAGTACCTGACTCTGAAGAAGAGTGGGATGTTACAGTCCTGGAGGTGGTAAGTACAGTACCGTACTTGAAGGGTGAGTGAGGGATGTTACGTCCTGGGGGTGGGGAATAAGTACTTGTACTCCGAAGGGGGTGGGAATTTTACATCTAAGGTGGGGGAAGTACGTACCTGTACTATGAAGGAGAGGAGGATGTTACAGTTGGGGGTGGGGGAATACAGACCCGTACTCTGAAGGATAGGGGAGGTGTTACAGCCTGGAGGGGGGAATACAGTACCTGTACTCTGAAGGATGAGTGAGGTGTACATCCTGGAGGGGGAAGTACAGTACCTGTCTCTGAGGATGAGTGAGGTGTTTCAATCCTGAGGGGGAAGTACAGTGCCTGTACTCCCGAAGGGTATGAGGGGTTCAGTCCTGGAGGTGGGAAGTACAGACCCCTTACTCTAAGGTGAGGGAGGATTTACAGTCCTGGGGTGGAAAATACGTGCCTGACTCTGAAGATGATTGAGGATGTTACGTCCTGGAAAAAGGGGAAGACGGCCTGTACTCTGAAGGGGGTGAGGATGTTACAGTCCTGGAGGGGGGAAGTACGTACCTGTCTCTGAAGGGTATGAGGATGTTACAGTCTAGAGGTGGGGAATCGTCCTTACCTGAAGGGTGAGTGAGGAGTTACAGTCCCTGGGGGGGAAGTACAGTACCGTACTCTGAAGGATGATGAGGATGTTACAGCTGAGGTGGGGAATACAGTGCCTGTACTCTGAAGGATGTGAGGAAAGTTACAGCCCGGGGGGGGAATACAGTACCCTTTCTCTGAAGGATGAGTGAGGATTTACATCCTGGAGGTGGGAAGTACAGACCCGTACTCGAAGGATGAGTGGGTGTTACATCCGAGGTGGAAGTACAGTGCCTGTACTCTGAAGGATGGGGTGAGGATGTTACAACTAGGGGGTGGGAAGTACAGTACCGTACTCGAAGGATGAGTGGGGTGTTACAGTCCTGGGTGGGAAGTCATACCTGTACTCTGAAGGATAAGAGGAAGTTACAGTCCTGGAGGTGGGAAGTACAGTACCTGTACTCGAAAAAATGAGTGAGGTGTTTTTAGTCCTGGGGGTGGAAGTACAGTACCTTACTCTGAAGGATGAGTGAGGATGTAAATCCTGGGGGTGGGAAGTACAGTACCTTTCTCTGAAGGGAGTGAGGGAAGCTACATCCCGGAGGTGGGGGAAATACTACCTTACCTGAAGGAGAGTGAGGATGTTACAGTCCAGGGTGGGAAGAAGTCCTGTACTCGAAGGGTGAGTGAGAATGTTACGTCCGGAGGGGGGAAAATACTGCCTGACTCTGAAAGGATGATGAATTTACAGTCCTGGGGGGGGGGAAGACAGGCCTGTACTCTGAAAGGGTGAGTGAGGATGTTACAGTGCTGGGGGTGGAAAATACAGTACCTGAATTGAAGGGGGATGAGGATGTTACAGTTGGAGGTGGGAAGTACAGTACCTGTACTCTGAAGGATAGTGAGGATGTTACAGTCCTGGGGGGGTAAAATACAGTACCTGTACCGAAAGGGTGATGAGGATGTTTTCAGTCCTGGAGTGGGAAGTACGTACCCTTACTCTGAAGGGTGAGTGAGGAGTTACGTCCTGGGGGTGGGAAAAGCATAAATTTTACTCTGAAGGATGATGAAGTTCAGTCCTGGATGGGAAATCAGTACCTTTACTCTGAAGGATGAGGAGGTTTACAGCCAGGGGTGGGAAGTTACAGTACTTGTATCTGAAGGATGAGTAAAGGTGTTACATCCTGGAGGTAGGAATACAGTACCGTAGTCTAAGGGTAGTGAGGATTTTACAGTCCTGGAGGTGGGAAGTACAGTACCTGAATCTAAGGGTATGAGGATGTTACATCCTGGAGGGGGAAGTACAGTACTTGTACTCCCCAAGGTGAGGAGGATCCAGTCCCGGAGGGGAAGTAAGTACCTTTTCTTAAGGATGATGAGGATTTTCAGTCCTGGAGGGGGGGAATACGTACCTGACTCGAAGGATGAGTGAGGATGTTACAGTCCCGGAGGTGGGAAAAATACAGTGCCTGTATCGAAGGATGAGTAGGTGTTAAGTCCGGGGGTGGGGAAGTACGTACGACCTGAAGGATGATGAGGATGTTTCAGCCAGAGGTAAGTACATGCCTGAAAATTGAAGGGGATGAGGATGTTACAGTCCGGAGGTGGGGAATACAGTACCTGTCTCTGAAGGGTAGTGAGGGAGTTACAGTCCTGGGGGTGGGGAATACAATGCCTGTACCTGGGATGATGAGGATGTTACGTCCTGGAGGGGGAAATACAGTACCTGTACCGAAGGATGGTAGGGTGTTTCAGTCCCTGGGGGTGGGAAAATACATACCTGTACTCCCGAAGGAAAGTTAGGGTTTTACATTCCGGGGTGGGAAGTACAGTGCCTGACTCTGAAGGATAGTGAGGAGTTTCAACTAGGAGGTGGGAAGTACAGTCCGTACTCTGAAGGAGAGTGAGGATTTACAGTCCTGGGGGTGGGGAAGTACAGTACCTTACTCTAAAGGGTGAAGAGCAAATTTAAAATCCTGGAGGGGGGAATACGACCTGTATCGAAGGATGAGTGAGGTGTTACATCCTGGAGGTGGCAAGTACAGTACCTGTACTCTGAAGGATGAGGAGGATGTTACAGTCCTGGAGGTGGAAAAAACAGTACCCTTTTTGAAGGATGATTTGGGGTGCTCAGTCCTGGGGGGGGGAATCATACCCTTTTCCCCGAAGGATGATGAGGATGTTACATCCCGGAGGTGGGGAAATACAGTACCTGTACTCTGAAGGATGAGTGAGGATGTTACAGTCCGGAGGTGGGAAGTACGTACCTTACTTGAAAATGAGTGAGGAGTTTTCAGTCCGGAGGTGGGAATACATACCCCGTAACTCTGAAGGATAGTGGGGGGCTACAGTCCTGGAGGTGGGAAATTTCAGTACCTGACCTGAAAGGGTAGTAGGATGTTACAGTCCCGGAGGTGGGAAGTACAGTACCCGTATTTGAAGGATGATTGAGGATGTTACAGTCCTGGAGGTGGGGAAATACAGTACCTGTTTCCCGAAGGATAGTAGGATGTTACAGTCCTGGAGGGGGGGAAGACAGGGTGTACTCTGAAGGGTGAGTGAGGATGACAGTCCCGGAGGTGGAAAAAATACAGAAAACCCGTACTCTAAGGGGGGAATGAGGTTTTTTCAGTCCTGGGGGTGGGGAAATACAGTACCTTTTCTCTAAGGATATGAGGATGTTTCAGTCCTGGGGTGGGAAGACAGTACCTTACCTGAAGGTGATTTGGGTCTTACAGTCCGGAGGTGGGAAATACAGTACCTGTACCTGAAGGGTGAGTGAGGGGGTTACCCGTCCTGGAGGTGGGAAGTACAGTACCTGTACTCGAAGGGTATGAGGATGTTACAGCCTGGGGGTGGGAATACAGTGCCTGTACTCTGAGGATAGTGGGATTTTTTTTACAGCCTGGAGGGGGAAGTACAGACCTGTACTCTGAAGGATGAGTGAGGGTGTTACATCCTGGAGGGGGGAAGTACAGTACCTTTACTTGAAGGATGAGTGAGGATGTTACAGTCCTGGAGGTGGGAAGTACATGCCGTACTCGAAGGAAGTGAGGATTTCAACTAGGGGTGGAAATACAGTACCCTGTACTCTGAAAAGGGTGAGTGAGGAGTTACAGTCCTGGAGGTGGGAATCCCGTACCTGACTCTGAAGGATAAGAGAAGTTACAGTCCCGGAGGGGGAAGTACAGTACCTGTACTCTGAAGGGTAGTAGGATTTACAGTCCTGGGGGTGGCAAGTACAGTACCTGACTCTGAAGGGTGATAAAGGATGTTTTCATCCGGAGGGGGGAAGTACAGTAACCTGTATCTGAAGGATGAGTGAGGTGCTACATCTGGAGGTGGGGAAATAAGTACCCGTACCGAAGGATAGGAGGAAAGTTACAGTCCCGGAGGGGGGAAGACTACCTGTACTCTGAAGGATGAGTGAGGATTTACAGTCCCCCGGGGGTGGGGAAGTACATTTCCTGTACTCTGAAGGATATGAGGATGTTACAGTCCTGGAGGGGGGGAATCGTACCCGACTCTGAAGGATGAGTAGGGTCTTTCAGCCCGAGGTGGAAGTACAGTACCTGTACTTGAAGGATAGTGAGGAGTTACAGTCCGGGGGTGGGAAGAAAAGACCCGTACTCTGAAGGAAGTGAGGATGTTCAGTCCTGGGAGGGGGAATACAGTACCTGTAACTCTGAAGGAAAAGGAGGATGTTACAGTCCGAGGGGGGAAAGACGTGCCTGTACTCTGAAAGGTGAGTGAGGATGTTACAGTCCGGAGGTGGGAAGTACAGTACCTGTACTCTAAGGATGAGTGAGGATGTTACAGTCCTGGAGGGTTTGGGAAAACGTACCGTACTCTGAAGGTGATGAGGAGTTACCCCTGGAGGTGGGAAAATACGAAATTACTCGAAGAGGTGAGGATTTTACAGTCCCGGAGGGGGGAGTACATACCCGTATCTGAAGGAGAGTAGGATGTTACAGCCCGGAGGTGGCAAGTACAGACCTGTACTCTGAAGGATGAGTGGGGATGTTACAGCCCTGGAGGTGCAAGTACAGTACCCGTCTTTTTGAAGGGATTAGGGGGGTTACATCCTGGGGGTGGGAAGTAACAGTACCGTACTCGAAGGTTAGTGAGGATTTCAGTCCTGGAGGTGGGGAAATACAGTACCTTACCCGAAGGATGAGGGGATGTTACAGTCCTGGGGGTGGGGAATACAGTACCTGTACCTGAAGGATGAGTGGGGATGTTACAGTCCTGGGGGGTGGCAAGTAAAAGTGCCGTACTCTGAAGGGGTGATGAGGATTTTCATCCTGGAGGTGGCAAATACGTACCTGTACATGAAAGGAATGAGGATGTACAGCCCTGGAGGGGGCAAGTACAGTACCTGTCTCGAAGGATGAGTGAGGATGTTCAGCCCGGGGGTGGAAGTACAGTACCTGTACTTGAAGGATGATGAGGAGTTTCAGTCCCGGAGGTGGGAATACAGTACCTGTATCTGAAAATGAGTGAGGATGTTACAGCCTGGAGTGGGGGAAGTACAGTACCTTACTCTGAAGGGTGATGAGGAGTTCATCCTGGGGGGTGGGAATACATACCTGCCTAAGGATTATGAGGATTTACAGTCCTGGAGGTGGGAATTCGTACCCGTATTGAAGGGTGAGTGAGGTTTTACAGTCCTGGGGGTGGAATACAGTACCCTTTCTCGAAGGAAAGAGTGAGGATTTACATCCCGGAGGTGGCAAGTACGAACCTTACTCTGAAGGATAGGGGGTGTTTCAGTCCTGGAGTGGCAATACAGTGCCTTACTCTGAAGGATGATGAGGATTTACAGTCCGGAGGTGGAATAAGTGCCGAACCTGAAGGATGAGGGGGATGTTTTAAACCCCGGAGGGGGGAATACAGTGCCGTACTCTGAAGGATGATGGGATGTTACAGTCCTGGAGTGGCAAGTACAGTGCCTTACTCTAAGATGATGGGGAAGTTTCAGTCCTGGAGGGGGCAAGTACAGTACCTGACTCTAAGGTGAGTGAGGGGTTTTACAGTCCTGGAGGTGGGAAGTACGTACCTGCTCTGAAGGATGAGTGAGGATGTTACAGTCCTGGAGGTGGGAAAACAGTAAACCCGTACTCTGAAGGATGATGAGGGTGTTACAGTCCCTGGGGGTGGGAAGTACAGTACCTGTACTCTGAAGGGGTGAGGGTGTTTCAGTCCTGGAGGTGGCAAAACAGTGCCTTTACCGAAGGTGATGAATGTTACATCCCGGAAGGTGGCAAATACAGTGCCTGTACTCTGAAGGATGATGAGGATTACAGTCCTGAGTGCAAACAGTGCCCCCCAGGAAACCCAAGCAGTGTGCACCGAGAAAATATCTGTTTTATTTTAAATTGGAGTCCTTAAATCTTGCCCCCCAGGGTGCCACCCACACCAGGGACTAACACCCAGGGACCTCATTACTTCCCAAGGGGAAAGGGAAACAGGGGAAGGAAAAACCCCTCAAATGTTTACACCCCTTTCCCGGGGATGAACCATGGACGCTCAGGGGTTTAATGAACGTTGTCTACCAGGCCATGGGACACCCAAAATACTTTAGGAAAGCATCAAATCTCCCTTCCCCCTTTTTGCCGAAAATAGGGGACTTTAAGTGACTTTTTCCCGTTAGTATTTTAAAAAATATATTTTTATGTGATACAATTAAGAGAGTTTTTAATCTCTTTTTCCTCTTCCAGACGCTTAAGAGTTCCCGGGGGGCCCAGAGGGACACTCCATGCACATACCGGGAGATACCTCTCTGCCCCCTTTTAAACACCTCCCAGGGCGCTCAACTCCTGAGCCGCACTAAGGAACAACTTCTGTCTCCTGGGGGGGGATTAGCAACCGAAAGATGCTCTGCAGTACATTAAACCTGTAATGGTTCCATGGGAGGTGGTCATGGATACATGGTAGTTGCATATGGGTAAGATAAAATTATATATTTCACACATTGTTTGTTTACAACTTTGGTGTAAAATATTATATTTAATTAAAAATATATATATAAATATATATTTTAAAAAAATAAAATATATAATATATCTTATGTATATACAGTGGACCCCCCCCGGGTTTACATATTTTTTCTTCCAAATATTTCAGTCCAGTACTGACGGGAATTTGTTCCCCTAAGGGGAAAATTTGAAGTAAATTTGTCCCTTCAGCCCCCAACATACCGACAACGCCTTCATAAAACACTTTAAAAATTGGGCGCAGTGGAGGTGACGTTTTGCGGGGGGGCCACTGTATATAAATTTTTATATAATAAAATAATATTATATATATACCAGCCTTCACAAACATACACCTATTTAAAGCATCTATGACAAATGGGTTTTTTCATAAAAAAATAATACTTTTACTGCAGGTAGAGACACCAAACTAAAATTTTATATCCATAATAGGCCTTAAAAATTATCAAAAAGTGAGCCCATTCAGGTTGTAAGAACAACAGTTTGGTAGCTCACTGAATTAAAAAAATGAATAATGTTTTTATCTTCTTTATGTCTTATGTATTCTTGTGTCTTCTTATGTATTTCTTCTGTGTGTTTTATGTCTTCTTGTTTGTCTTCTTATTATTCTTCTATGTGTTCTTTATGTCTTCTTCTGTGTCTTCTTCTTTATGTCTCCTCTTCCTCCTCCTGAGCCTCTCACCACTTAATTCCTTCTCACAGGTAAGGGTGATCTGGTTGGAACAGACGTCGACATGCATCTTCGTAATGGTGCAGACACAGTAGTGAAGTCGTCTTGCGATGTCAAGGCCCTCACCTACTGTGACCTCAAGTCTATCTACATCCCTGGCTTGCTAGATGTCCTTAAGTTATACCTCGAGTACCAGCAGGAGTTTGCTAACGACATCAAGCACGACCTGACGTACAACTTGAGGGAGGGTTACGACAATGAGGTGAGGTGGAACTGAGTGAAAATGAGTAAGGTCTCAATTAGCATGAATAATGAATTCCATGAAGTGGTCATATTATTCAAATTATATGTAATTCATGTGCACGATTTGAAGAATTTGGTATAAAACTAGCATTATATATAATTTCACACTAAATTGAAATTTGTAATAATTGGGACTTGGCTACTGATATAACTCAGTTTTGCAACAATTGTAAACACATCACAGAATGGGTGGGGCTTGAACCCATGGCAGCCAGGGCAGTGGGTTCAAATCTCATCCATTTCATAATTTATATCTGACATAGAAAGCAGCATTAGGTACCTGGGTGTTAGGTGACTTCCTGTAGTACAGGTGATCCTCGACTTATGATGGTTCGACTTAGAGTATTTCCACTTTACAATGGTGTGACAGCAGTTACTTTGGAGATGAAACTAAAGATAATTACCAAGCATGAAGGCAGCAAATCCATACTCATATTTATTAATTTACTTATCATTACTGGTATTTAGTTAGTTACAGTAATTATTTGTTTATTTACTTATTGAGTGACAGTAATTTTTTATTTACTTAATTAGCATATCATGTTTATATTTGACCTGCGATATTTTTGACTTATGATGGATTTGTCAGAATGTATCCCTGTACAAACTCTTAAATATTAAAAATGGAATACTCGTCGAGGGATACGTTTCCCATAACTCTCCTCTGTACAGCAGCAAGACAGGGAAAATTGGCTCTGGGAAAAATCTATTGCCATCTATCAGCGAGGACGATGAGGAGAGGGGCAGCGATGAGGACGACAAGTCTCCAGTGTCAACATCTCCCAGATCTCCCCTTCACTCTCGCGCCGGAACAAGGTTCACCTTTCCACGGTCAGTCAATGTTGTCTAGCATGGCCTCCGCGTGTTCGAAAAAAACACTTTTCTTGAGGGGACTAAATCTCCCAGTGTATACACAGCAACAGGTGTGTACCCATGTGGATATACAGATGGGTATATGTCTCTCGGTGTATGTACAATGAAATGTTTGTATCTGTGTTGATATACTCTGGGAGGTGTGCACCTTTGTATATATTCATGAAGGTGTATACCACTCTCTGTATATATACACCAGGAGGGGCACATTTTTTGTGTGTAGAGCTTAATCAAGTCATGTTTTGCTCACTGTAGGCTTTATCAAGTCATGTTTCACTCACTGCAGAGCTTTATCATATTCTGCTCAGCATAGAGCTTTTTCAAGCTTATTTGTTCTGTCATTTTTGGTATTACAATGTGCAAGCTTATAGAAATATGCAATTTAATATTGTGTGAACACCACAGTGTGATGATACACTATGTGATAGTTACATTATACAGTCAACCAGTGTTATGATAACAGTCTTAGCCAGAATTATGGTATGGGAAGGTGTCCCAGGAGCGGAAATATGACTTAAGACTTAAGAAGACTTTAAAAGACTTTAAGAAGACTTTTAAAAGACTACCTCTTTCCCTCCCTCCCTGTTACATTCTATATTATATGCTGTTAAAACTGTACATCATTTTCTTGGTACAATCAACTCTCTTATAAAACACATATACAGTGGACCCCCGACATTCGATATTAATCCGTTCCTGAGAGCTCATCGAATGTCGAAAATATCGAAAGTCGAATTAATTTTCCCCATGAGAAATAATGGAAATCAAATTAACCCGTGCAAGACACCCAGAAGTATGAAAAAAAAATTTTACCATGTGAAATATTAAGTTTAATGCAATAGAATAATTACAATAACAACAATAACAACAGATTAATAACAATAGAATAATTGACACTTACCTTTAATGAAGATCTGGTGATGATTGATGGGATGGGAGGAGGGGAGAGTGTGGATGGTGTTAGTGTTTAGAAGGGGAATCCCCTTCCATTAGGACTTGAGGTATCAAGTCTTTTTCCGGGGTTACTTCCCTTCTTCTTTTAATGCCACTAGGACCAGCTTGAGAGTCACTGAACTTCTGTCGCACAACATATCTGTCCATAGAGCTCTGTACCTCCTGTTCCTTTAAAATTTGTCTAAAATGGGCCACAACATTGTCATTGTAATAGTCACCAGCACGGCTTGCAATAGCAATGTTAGGGTGATTTTCATCCATAAAGGTTTGCAGTTCAACCCACTTTGCACACATTTCCTTAATCTTTGAAGTAGGCACAATGGATTCCACAACTGGCATAGGCTTCTCAGGGTTAGCCCCAAACCCTTCAAAATCTTTCTTAATTTCCATACTAATTCTCACCCTTTTTACCATAGGGTTGGCACTAGAAGCTTTCTTGGGGCCCATGGTGACTTATTTTGCAGAAACAAGCACCAAAAACAGTGATAATATGGATAATATGGAATGTACCGAATGTATCCTTAGATGCGCGCACACTGGCTGGCTTGTAAACACTGGCACACACGGGGCAGTTCAGGCCACACATGGACATGTCTCGTACGAATCATATCAAATACCGGGTTTTCGATCGAATGTCGAGGCGAAACTTTTGCGTTAAAATGCATCGAATGTCGGATTTATCAAATGTCGATGCCATCGAATGTCGGGGGTCCACTGTAGTTAATAGTCAATATATAGAAGAGCTTTATAAGACAGCTGACTGCATTGTTGACATTTTCATATTAACATTTTTAATATAGAAACGAGGAAGAAATGGGAAGTCCTCGCTGGGGTCACAGGAGCCGTGAACGGAGTGGAGGAACGCCAGTTAGAGGGGCACTCAAAACACTCTCACCCACGCGCCTCCACCATCGCTCAAACGACGAACTTCGATGCGATGATCAGGCTAAGGTTCAGCTGGAAAAGATTGATACGCAAGTCAATACTCTTCATTCCGATGTTAGTGGCTTGACGCAAGAGGTAAGTGGACTTTTTCCATTCTTAACACACTGGCCATCTCCCACTGAGGTAGAGAATTCCGAAAGAAAAGAAAACACTTTCACCATCATTCACTGAATCACTGTCTTGCCAAGAGCACAATGAATAACATTTTGGATGACCCTCTGAAATGTAACACCCCAAAGTAGTCCTTCAAAGTACAGGCACTGTACTTCCCACCTCCAGGACTCAAGTCTGACTAAGTAAACTGTTATACATTCATGATGGACTTGAGTCCTGGAGGTGGGAAGTACAGTGTCCACACTTATAGGCAAAAAAAAGCGAAGGTTTGATGCACCATATATCACCTACCTTAAACTACATTTAAATTTGGTAAACCCATACGGGTCATGTAACATCTATTATTCTCAAAAAGTACTTCACAGTACTATGTAGGTATATTCACTGTCCAAACATAGATATACATTGACATGCGGCAAGCTCCAAACGTAGATCTATGTTTTTTTTACATGCTTTCAAATGGGGAAAATCAAGGTCGGAGTGCTACGCACGTGAATGTGGATCTACGTTTGGACAGTTTAAGGGTTAAATAGATATATTCTGTAGTAAATAGGTATATTCTGAGGTAAATAGGCATAATCAGTAGTAGATACATATGTACTGTATATTCAATGGTAAATATGTACATTCAGAGTGGTAAATAGGTATATTCACATAAGGCTTTACATAATCTCTCACACATGAAAAACTATTGCTACTATTATTATTATTATTATTATTATTATTATTCTTGCTAATATCTCGATAAATAAAAATTACCCATAACAGCTAAGTTTATTCCAGCATTATGGTGTACTAAACCATTAAGGGTCATACAGCATCTTGGGAATGGGTGTTGACCTGAGGAAGGGGAAGGCAGCTCCAATTCCTTGGATCAGGCTCCCATTCACCAGCATCAAGACACTGTATTGCAAAATAATCTTTGCATCCAGATTTTTCAATGATGCCTTGATCCCGGTGAAGGGTTCTTAATCCATGGAATTAGAGCTCTCCTCCCCTTCCTTGGATCATGTTTGGTTACGTTCTGTTCTCCAGGAACTGTATGACCCTTACGGGTTTAGCATTATCAGTATTTTTTAAAGTTTTACTTTTTTGCCCCACTGAAATTTTGATTATTTTTCGTTAAAAAACATAATTTTGATTACAAGTTCCTAATTTTATTTATTACTATAAATTTTTAAGATTTAATTAAAAATTTAGTGCTTAAGCTAATAGATTTCAATGAAGTTTTAATATTAATTTAAAAATTATTGTACAATCTCATAGATATTATTGTTGTTTCTATATAACCTGATTATATTCAGTTATAATATACCTCATTAGAGTGAAATTTTTCATGAGATTAAAAGAGTACAGTGGACCCCCGGTTTACAATATTATTTCATTCCAGAAGTATGTTCAGGTGCCAGTACTGAACGAATTTGTTCCCATAAGAAATATTGTGAATTAGATTAGTCCATTTCAGACCCCCAAACATACACGTACAAACGCACTTACACAAATACACTTACATAATTAGTCACATTGGGAGGTGATCGTAAAGCGGGGGTCCACTGTACTTCCAAAATGCATTTTCTTTTGTGCCTAACAATGTTTTATTATACAGCCTCTCCTCACTTAACAACAGTTGCGTTCCTAAGACCACATAGGTAAACGAATTCGTTGCTAAGTGAAGAGCTTACTATAATGGTAGTTTGTGTCAACCATCTTTGATATTATTTTAATATCACTTTTGCACCATTTATAACATTTTCAGTATATTTTTAAATGTTTATACAATAGTGTACTGTATACTGTAATAAACAGAATAGAGGAAATCAGCTTTAATATGCATTATTTGGGTATATATGCTGGTCAGAGAGTCCATTGTAAGTCCGAGTCGTTGGTAAACAAGTACGTTACAAAGTGAGGAGAGGCTGTATATAAACTATATTATTTTTATACCACAAGTAAGAAAATAAAAATATGAATTTGATCTTGAATAGCATTCAAATCAAAATAATTTTTTTTATTTCTTTGTGTTAACCACAAAGAAAGCCACTAACATACTGAGCATTTTGGGCAAAATAATTCTAATGTTTACAGACTACTTAAAAACTAAACATAGGTTATTACAAAAAGGAACGCAGTAAATATTCACAATTAATAAAATTTATTGTAGTACAGTGTATGCTATTCAATTTTCATTGCACTCTTTTAGTCGCATTTACAAAAAATTGCACTAAATTGAGGAGCCTTATAGAGCACATTTTAAAAGTTATTACCTAATCACATATTTTAATGATTTTTTTATATTTAATTAAAATATTTGTGAAACAGTGATAATATACGTATGTAACATTGACAGGTTCGTTCGGCACTGCAACTGCTCCAGTCAATTAGCCACAACATTGGTGGTATTGATAATGATGGTGACGAGGCAGGAAGTTGCTACACTGTCGCAAGCAATGAAGGCGGTCGCATCGGAGGGGGTAATGGGGGAGGCAGCGGTATGTCAAGCAACTATATGCAAGAAAACAGACTGACACCTCTGTGTAGATCTTCGCCAAGCGTGTTCGCCACCTGTCGGGAGACAAGACCTTCTTCGTCCTTACCACGTCACCGTTGTCGCAATGTCTCGACCCAGACAGACCTGCCCATAGACGTTCCTGTTGCAGTTCTTGAAGCATTTGTTTTAGCTCATCGTTCCAGAGTTCTTCAACTTCTGGGTATTCAAGAAGTTATCACTTCCTCCCCTGATAACCCCTCAAACAATGCTCAACTCATCCCACCAGCTTCATCACAAACCAGCGAAGTTAATACATGCGAAGTCAATACCTGTATAATGATTCCTGAAAGCAACAGCTGCTCAGGGAGCATGAATTCAACACCTGAACAATATGAATCTTGCTCCAGGACTCAAGCACCATTAGAACTCGACTCGGTACAAACTCACAACCCCTCCATTACAATAGAAGCTGCTCCAGACCTAGGAGACAACAGAAATAACAATAACAACAAAACCTTTGGCCCATCCATAGAAACATATCAATTAACAAACCTACAAAATTGGAATCCAGTCTCACAGTTAAGCAGAGCGGTCATGTCAACCTCGCGAAGTACCGGCAGTTTGAAAGATATTCTTTCCATTAATTTCAAAAATCAACCTCAACATCTTAGCCAGCATGACAATAACTCTCCATATTCTGTGCAATGTGAGATACAAGAAACAAACCCAACTAAAACATTTGTACATTATAGTTGTTCCTCCGATTGTCCTCCGACAGATCTAATATGCTTCTCAGAGGTTAACCACAAGATGACAAGAAGTACCTCCATGCCTGTAGCTTCGTTTAAGTACTTGCCCAATCTCTTAAATACTTCTATAAGGCCGCATGTACATTTACCTGACCCCAACAGAGATGCGGAATTCGATTCATCTGAACCATCTGAATCTCTCAACCTACCCAGTACAACCAAAGAACTGCAAAACACCATAAAAAAATCCACAATAGTTACAGACTTTTAGCTGCGATTTTATGAGGTATTTATTAGTTACATCTTCTGTACAAATTAAAATTGTAAATCTCAAATAATCCATAGACTATTATTCCTTTGGACATACCAAGGGAAACGTACAGTTGGCTTTCTTGTAAAGTTCTATATTATGCAATTTTTCATAAATACAATTGAAAAGGTGCATAGAAAACTGAAAAGTGCGATTAAATTTTCGATGTACTTTTTTTGTATTTACAAAAATTTCATTATATAGAAGAGCATTATTAGAAAGCTGACTCTTTAAATCTTATGGCTGCTTCAAGAATACTTGTAACCAGTTTTATACATGAAATTGGTTCATGACTGGTTCTTTACCTGGTGACTTGTTTGGAGGGTATTTCTACCCTTGTAGTCTGGCCTGAGGTCACCTTTTATAAACCATTTAATCTAAATTCTTGCTACCTGCATCTAATGTGAAAATGTCACTGCTAATGAGCTTCAGGGGACATTTATTGATGTTGATGAAGAGCTCATGATCCAAGGAATTGGGATCACCCTTTATTTCTTAGCATCAAAGCCAATTACCTCACATTTCCCAGGCATTGTATGACCCCTATGGGTCTATCCCTACCCCTTACATCTAACTCCCATTCTGCATGACCCTTACTGGTTTAGTGCTTCCCTATGAATATAAAAATCCAGAACACGTTCTTGATAATTAACATTCACGAGGGAGCACTAAACCCATAGGAGACATACAAGGGGTGGAAATTGGGTTTGATCTACTGAAGGGTAGTTGCAATTCCTCAAGACAAGTTGTTCAGTAACATCAAGGTACCTCTTTGAAGGGTCAGTGAGGCGTATCTTAATGTTTTGTTGTACTAGCGGTAATACCTTGATATGCGTTACCAACAACAAGTACTCCTTGACTTACGATGGTTTGACTTAAGATATTTCAACTTTAAGATGGTGCGGCAGCAATTATTTTGGAGATAAAACTTAAGATAATTACCCAGCATGAAGGCAGCACATATTTAATTAAAGTAATTATTTGTTTATTTACTTATTCAGTGAAATTTTCACTTTTTGATATTTTCGACTTACGGTAGATTCGTCAGAACGTAACCCTATCACAAGTCAAGGAGCACCTATACGGCGATGATCATCAGTGTCCGCTAAATCACATTAAAAATGAAAAAAATAACTTTAAATTGTATTAATACTGAACTGTACACACAAATTACAGTTAACTTTGTTAAAAACCTCTCCATATTGCATAGGTTTTTATAAACCTGATTGGAAAATACATCCAAAACAAAATAGCTTGTGGGAAGACTTTTACAGTATGTGATAGTCAAAACTGGATGTAATTTCTCCATCACACAAAATATGATACAATACAGAGGGGTTTTATAAGAGTATTGACTGTACTATAGCAAAAACTTAATATAAAGTGCTTAAATGTACAATTTAATCAGAGGATTTTGTCATTTACTTCAAAAGTCTGTTATATCCAGGTATTACTGTATGTACCTTGCCTCAATGCCATGATCAAAATATCTCTAATATACCGGACACGAGAAACGCTGCGTGTGGTGTGTAATGAGTACTATGGGCAAAACGGGTTTCATCACGTACATGTATTCATTTCATTACATTCACGAAAGAAGGGTGTGCTAAACCCATTGGGGTCGTTCATCGCCTGGGGAAATGAAAGGCATTAAGGCTCAAATTGGAGTGTAGGTTCGGTTCCTCAGATCAACAGCCCATCACCAGTATCAACAGCCCATCACTAGTATCAACAGCCCATCACTAGTATCAACAGCCCATCACCAGTATCAACAGCCCATCACCAGCATCAACAGCCCATCACCAGTATCAACAGCCCTTCACTAGCATCAACAGCCCATCACCAGTATCAACAGCCCATCACCAGTATCAACAGCCCATCACCAGTATCAACAGCCCATCACTAGTATCAACAGCCCATCAGAAGCATCAACAGCCCATCACCAGTATCAACAGCCCATCACTAGTATCAACAGCCCATCACCAGTATCAACAGCCCATCACCAGTATCAACAGCCCATCACCAGTATCAACAGCCCATCACTAGTATCAACAGCCCATCACCAGTATCAACAGCCCATCACCAGTATCAACAGCCCATCACCAGTGTCAACAGCCCATCACCAGTATCAACAGCCCATCACCAGTATCAACAGCCCATCACCAGTATCAACAGCCCATCACCAGTATCAACAGCCCATCACCAGTATCAACAGCCCATCACCAGTATCAACAGCCCATCACCAGTATCAACAGCCCATCACCAGTATCAACAGCCCATCACCAGTATCAACAGCCCATCACCAGTATCAACAGCCCATCACCAGTATCAACAGCCCATCACCAGTATCAACAGCCCATCACCAGTATCAACAGCCCATCACCAGTATCAACAGCCCATCGCCAGTATCAACAGCCCATCACCAGTATCAACAGCCCTTCACTAGCATCAACAGCCCATCACCAGTATCAACAGCCCATCACCAGTATCAACAGCCCATCACCAGTATCAACAGTCCATCACCAGTATCAACAGCCCTTCACTAGCATCAACAGCCCATCACCAGTATCAACAGCCCATCACCAGTATCAACAGCCCATCACCAGTATCAACAGCCCTTCACTAGCATCAACAGCCCATCACCAGTATCAACAGCCCATCACCAGTATCAACAGCCCATCACCAGTATCAACAGCCTATCACCAGTATCAACAGCCCTTCACTAGCATCAACAGCCCATCACCAGTATCAACAGCCCATCACCAGTATCAACAGCCCATCACCAGTATCAACAGCCCATCACCAGTATCAACAGCCCATCACCAGTATCAACAGCCCTTCACCAGCATCAACAGCCCATCACCAGTATCAACAGCCCATCACCAGTATCAACAGCCCATCACCAGTATCAACAGCCCTTCACTAGCATCAACAGCCCATCACCAGTATCAACAGCCCATCACCAGTATCAACAGCCCATCACCAGTATCAACAGCCCTTCACCAGCATCAACAGCCCATCACCAGTATCAACAGCCCATCACCAGTATCAACAGCCCTTCACTAGTATCAACAGCCCATCACCAGCATCAACAGCCCATCACCAGTATCAACAGCCCTTCACTAGTATCAACAGCCCTTCACTAGCATCAACAGCCCATCACCAGTATCAACAGCCCATCACCAGTATCAACAGCCCATCACCAGTATCAACAGCCCATCACCAGTATCAACAGCCCATCACCAGTATCAACAGCCCATCACCAGTATCAACAGCCCTTCACCAGCATCAACAGCCCATCACCAGTATCAACAGCCCATCACCAGTATCAACAGCCCTTCACTAGTATCAACAGCCCATCACCAGCATCAACAGCCCATCACCAGTATCAACAGCCCTTCACTAGTATCAACAGCCCATCACCAGCATCAACAGCCCATCACCAGTATCAACAGCCCATCACCAGTATCAAAAGCCCATCACCAGTATCAACAGCCATCACTAGTATCAACAGCCCATCACCAGTATCAACAGCCCTTCACTAGTATCAACAGCCCATCACCAGCATCAACAGCCCATCACCAGTATCAACAGCCCATCACTAGTATCAACAGCCCATCACCAGCATCAACAGCCCATCACCAGCATCAACAGCCTATCACCAGTATCAACAGCCCATCACCAGCATCAACAGCCCATCACCAGTATCAACAGCCCTTCACCAGCATCAACAGCCCTTCACTAGTATCAACAGCCCTTCACTAGTATCAACAGCCCTTCACCAGCATCAACAGCCCATCACCAGTATCAATAGCCCTTCACCAGCATCAACAGCCCTTCACTAGTATCAACAGCCCTTCACCAGCATCAACAGCCCATCACCAGTATCAACAGCCCTTCACTAGTATCAACAGCCCTTCACTAGTATCAACAGCCCTTCACTAGCATCAACAGCCCTTCACCAGCATCAACAGCCCTTCACTAGCATCAACAGCCCTTCACCAGCATCAACAGCCCTTCACTAGCATCAACAGCCCTTCACTAGTATCAACAGCCCTTCACTAGCATCAACAGCCCTTCACTAGTATCAACAGCCCTTCACCAGCATCAACAGCATTTCACCAGCATCAACAGCCCTTCACTAGCATCAACAGCCCTTCACTAGCATCAACAGCAGTTCACTAGCATCAACAGCCCTTCACTAGCATCAACAGCCCTTCACTAGCATCAACAGCCCTTCACCAGCATCAACAGCCCTTCACCAGCATCAACAGCCCTTCACTAGCATCAACAGCCCTTCACCAGCATCAACAGCCCATCACCAGCATCAACAGCCCTTCACCAGCATCAACAGCCCTTCACTAGCATCAACAGCCCTTCACCAGCATCAACAGCCCTTCACTAGCATCAACAGCCCTTCACTAGCATCAACAGCCCTTCACTAGCATCAACAGCCCTTCACCAGCATCAACAGCCCTTCACTAGCATCAACAGACCTTCACTAGCATCAACAGCCCTTCACCAGCATCAACAGCCCTTCACTAGCATCAACAGCCCTTCACCAGCATCAACAGCCCATCACCAGCATCAACAGCCCTTCACCAGCATCAACAGCCCTTTGCCAGCATCAACAGACCTTCACTAGCATCAACAGCCCTTTACCAGCATCAACAGCCCTTCACCAGCATCAACAGCCCTTCACTAGCATCAACAGCCCTTCACTAGCATCAACAGCCCTTCACCAGCATCAACAGCCCTTCACCAGCATCAACAGCCCTTCACCAGCATCAACAGCCCTTCACTAGCATCAACAGCTCTTCACTAGCATCAACAGCCCTTCATTAGCATCAACAGCCCTTCACTAGCATCAACAGCCCTTCACCAGCATCAACAGCCCTTCACCAGCATCAACTCTTCACCAGCATCAACAGCCCTTCTCCTGGAGTAGCCATGGACTGGTGCAGGGCTACCAGTTCAGCCCCCAGTACTCCTTACACCACGTGGTAAAATTCTCGCTCTATAACACTGCACACTTTTACCGTAACTCCTTTAATTACACACCCCATAAGTAGAAACTATCGAACCCCATTCTGAACATCATTCATTAAACATAAACATCGCAGTGCCACGGCTGGAATAAGTCATAAATGCACAGCTTTGGAGAGAAAAATTTAGTATTTTTTTTAGAAGCGGGCATTGACTAAAAGAGCGGATGCCTGGAGTTTACCTGGAGAGAGTTCCGGGGGTCAACGCCCCCGCGGCCCGGTCTGTGACCAGGCCTCCTGGTGGATCAGTACCAACCTCTGCATAACATCTCTTTTGAGGGAAACAGCCATAGTGATAGCTTGTCTATTCCTTTTTTTTCTTTCCAGAAAGTCTGCTCATCCTTAGTTGGCTCAGAAACACATAAATTATAATTTTAAATCAAACTTGCCCTCTAAACTGCATTTTAAGAGGAAAATTTAGCCAGTGCTGGGATGCCGGATCCTTGTTTACCACTCCCCCTCCCCCATCAGGAAAGTTCCAGCAGACACCCTTGTGCCCCACTGGAAAAGTTCCAGCAGACACCCTTGCCCCCACTGGAAAAGTTCCAGCAGACATCCTTGTCCCACCACTGGAAAATCCAGCAGACATCCTTGTCCCACCACTGGAAAAGTTCCAGCAGACATCCTTGTCCCCCCACTGGGAAAGTTCCAGCAAACATCCTTAGTTTCAACTGTAACAGTCGTGACCCCAGTGAGAATCTACTATGGACCAAAACGATGGCTAAAATTTCCTCTCCAAACTGTTGTTAATTATTGCATCCGTCGATCAGGCCAACATGCATCAGCAACAAATTTACCAGATTATAGAGTAATATTAGTTAATATAATTCCTATAATTTTCATTGTTTCTGGAATCATGGTTAACTAATTATACAGTGGACCCCCGCATAACGATCACCTCCGAATGCGACCAATTATGTAAGTGTATTTATGTAAGTGCGTTTGTACGTGAATGTTTGGGGGTCTGAAATGGACTAATCTACTTCACAATATTCCTTATGGGAACAAATTCGGTCACTACTGGCACCTGAACATACTTCTGGAGTGAAAAAATATCGTTAACCGGGGGTCCACTGTACTTTCTAAGCTGGTTCAAAATTCTAAAACTGTAAATCAAAGGATAAATTTTGGACCTAAAGCATTCAAAATGGGTCAGTGTAACCAGAACAGTATAATGTATATAGTCTAATATTGTAAAAATTTATATACATATATATATTTTAAAATGCAAACACAACTCAAGCCAATGTTACTGTGCCATATTTCAACCTAAAAGTTAATATTTCCTTTATATCATCTACCTCTTTTACTGATAGGTTTAAATTTATATCACTTGTGTATATACAATTTATATTAAATATATTCCATATATATATAGATATATGAGATTTCATCAGCAGCTTTTTCCTGTGTATATACAAATTTATATTAAATATATTCCATATATATGAGATTTCCGCAGCAGTTTTTTTTCCTGCTGCGAAAACTCAAAATGTTCTTCGAAGTCCGATGTCTGCATTTTATTTTTGTGAATTGCCAGTGTGTCAATGTGGCTTCTATAAACCTCGCTACTGAACATTGCCGTGTTGTGCGATGTGTGTTAGACACGTAGGCTTGTACAGGCGACCCCCCTACAGTAGGCCTAGTGGCCCAAACTTGGCAGGTCCTTCTCAACTTCAGTGATTCTCACATACATGTATATTTGTCCAACCAATTCTCAAA